GACACCATATCCAACATGCTGAACCGGACGTCACCAACTATCCTTCGTGGTCCTACTCCAGCCTCTGCGTGACATGCAAAATTTGAAAGTGATCCAGTGTGTGAGAAAGCGGCAAGTAGTTTTTGGTAGCCCTTGAAAGGTGTAACAACAGCTAAGTCAGCGGAAATAGATGAGGTCATATCGATATTTGAAGTAACAGATATCTTTTGCTTGCGTGGAAGTGTGACATCGACTATGCTGTGATACATTTCGTTGCTTCCTTCATGTGAAAGTTTAACCTTGAGAATCTCATATCCAGTGAAAGGGGTCGTGATAGTCATTAGACCAGTCAGTGGTTGGTTGTTGAACTGAACGTCGGCAACAATGGACTTCTGCTTTCCGTAGGTTATCTCTGCTCTTGACTGGAAACGCGAGTAAGTTCCCGCATGCGAAACTGATGCGCTTAATCGTTTGTATCCTGTAAATGGCGTTTGAATGTTGATATCAGCGCTTAAAGGTGAAAGAGCAAACCTGGTACTGGCAACAATCATGTTTTTTCCTATTGCAGCGGTGGCTTTGGATGTAAAAGCATTCCATGCCCCGTCATGTTTAAAGGATGCTTGTAATTTACGGAATCCTTTGAATGGTGTATTGATGACTAGAACAGTTGAAATGGACGGTTTCAAAGTGAATGTGAGATCTGTATCCAATTTATTCTGTCCGTATTGAGCTGACATTCTATTGTTGAATTTATTCCAACGCCCCCTGTTGGTAAATCCCAAGGTAACATCTTCGAAATGTTTTGATTTTACAGAAACCGATGCTTTTACTTTTCTTGCATTTGCAAACGTGATATCAGCTTCATACTTTTTATCTCTTGGATTGAGGCTCACTTCCGCATGGCTAGAAAACTGTTTCCAATTTCCAGAATGGTCAAGAGCAGCATGCATATCTTCAGTGAATGGTGTCTTCAGTGCGAAGGATCCTAAGATTTTCTCTCCCCATCCAAGCGATAAATCACCTTGAGCTTTTGAGTCACCATATTGTACCTCACCGTGTGAACTAAGCCGATCAGATTGCATTTCATGCTGAATTGCCAAAGAGACGTCTTCACTGAAAGGTGTTTTCAAAGCAAGAGCACCTTCTAATCTATCTACATTAGCAAATGATAAATCCACTTCAATTTTCTTTGTTGGATGATATATCAGTTGTCCATGACATTGAAATTGCTGAAGGCTTCCAGTGTGATGTACAGCAAGTGATAAGTCTTCAGTGTAAGGCGTCTTAAGTGTGAAGGAACCTTCAATTTTGTTGATTATGTTGAAGGTAGTGTCGATTTCGATCTTATTAGATGTCTGGTACTGTACTTCCCCGTGACTTTGGAAGTTGTTCCATTGTCCATTTTTGTTAAACAGTACGGTGATAGTGCTAAACATTGGACTTCTGACCTTGAGTGTACCTTCTGTGTTATCATTGTTGCTGAAGGTAGCATCAGCTTCAAACTGTTTCTGTGTCTGGTATTGAACTTCTGCATGTGACTGGAAGCCGTTTAGGTTGCCATTGTGTTGAAAAAGAGCAGACACGTCACCGGTGATTGGTGAACGAAGGATAACGGAACCTTCTACATTGGCATCGTTGATGAAAACGATTTCTAATTCGGAGAGTTGATCACCATATTTTAATCCAGCGTTAGACTGAAATCTCTGAAGAGTTCCAGAATGATGCGCTGTAACTGTTATGTCCTCAAAATGCGGTGATTTCAAAACAAGTTTTCCCTCCAATTTGCCTTCTCTTGTAAACTCAGCAACTGTTTGGTATCTGTCACCATTCAACCATGTAAGTTGCCCAAGGCTCGTAAACTGTCTGCTGTTCCCGTCATGGTTAATCATGGCTACTATGTCATTGATATGAGGTGCCTTGAGAGATAATTCCCCATTCAGTCTACGCCCAAACCCAAAACTGGTCTTTGCCTCGTACTTCTGTCCATATATATCTTCTAAAGCAATACTCGAACGGAATCGTCTACTGTTTCCAGTAAACTTCCCTACCGCTGCCAGTCGGGGAATCTGATTAAATGGGGTAGTGAGTGCTATGCTTCCGAGTAAATCTCCTGGCAGGTACTTGTACGAACTCTCTAATTTCATAATACGACTTGGCAAGTATTCAATATTTAGAGTTGATGTTCTTTCATCTCCCTGCAGCTTACTTGTGACTGTGACCTGACTGTAAGGAAGAACCGCAAATGGCGTATCTATCCTGATATTTCCAATTATATCCCCTTGCATGTTCCATTGTGATGATGCTGATATCCTTGAAAGGAGAGGTTGTAATTCGAAGTAAGCTGCGGCTTGGAACGCGTTCATATCACCAGTCAATTCAAAGTTTGTCTCAAGTCTTCGTGCATCTTCCAGTTCTGATGTGATGAGAATGAAGATACGTTTATTGTTATCCATCCTCATGCGGTTTTCTAGTGAAACAACTTGTGTTGATCCGTACTGAACCGATGCAGTGTTGATAAGTTCCATTGCTTCTTTGTTTTGATTGAAGGTGATGGCGATGTTTGTCAGGACTGGTGATTGCAGACTCATGCTTCCACTGAATAGACCATTGACGTGGTCAAGGTTGGTGGAGAATGTGATGCTCTTTGCTGGTGCCCATTCTAGATGAACAGTTCCACTGTATGGGTAGTCGTTGTATTGACAGTCGATGGTGGTCGTATATGCATTATTCATTAACTCCATTGTGTGGGTAGAGGTTATACGTTCTTGATCGCATCCGTACTTGTTGTTCATGGAGAAAAGCGTTTCAGAGTTCTGTTGAATAGTGAGAGCATTCTTTATTGATCCACTGGCATGTTCATGGGTTGCAGAAACATCTATGGTAGGCAGAACATTGCCGTGTAACTGCATACTGAGTGATCCGACTCCGTGTTCAATGGTAAGTGCCTGGTTGGCAGTTAGATCCAATGCAATATTTCGGCTTCCGTAGTTACCGTTAAGATTAGTTCTGATTGTCGATAAAGAGTTTTCGTGATTCCATGTAGACTGAAGTGAGTGTGACAACGCTGTCAAAGAAAATCGTCCACTATTCTGTACCGACCAACCAGATCTATCGTGAGTCATTTCTCCTTCGTATGTAATACCCTGGCCGTCCTTATTCATGCTGAAGTTGTTTGAAAACCTTCTGCCATCATCAGTATGTCTTCCTCCAATGTACATGGAACCGACCTGACTGAGAGTCGTCTTTAAACTGACACGTCCGGTTACATCTCGTGACGTTGATGTTCCCTTATCAGCACCATTTACGTTAAATTGAATTGAATTCTTGTTCCACGTAACTTTAGCCATGGTCGATAATTTGTCCGTTAGTTTATGATTTATTGTAAATGTTGATCGTTGGAATCCCTTCACTGGAGATTTGACAACTAATTCACCTTCGAAGTTTGTAAGGGAGACTGGCTTCTGAAGAGTGAGTGTAGTCGAGATCTTCTTGATGGGCTTCCAGTCGACATCAAGGGTTGTTGAGTATTGAGAGTTGTCAGAAACATGAGCTGCGTCTACTGCAACAGACCGGTATCCACGGAATGGGGTGGTGATCTGGAGGGTTCCTGCATAGTTATTGTTCTTCTTGTTACTGAAGGTCGTGTCCACAGCAATTCGTTTTGATCTAGCCCATTCAACATGGGCATGCGTAATGTACTTATTACCTCCGCGGTGTTTCAGGTTTACTGTGTATACGCCAAGAGGTGACCTACTGTTAACGTTGACATCTATAGAGTTCATATCCTCGACTGTTGCTTGACCATTCAGTTGGAAGCGTTTGGGAACATCATTACCAGCATCCCAAAGAAGGTTTGTTCTAACAGCGTAGGTAGGAGAGTTTCTCGTCACATCAGCCTCAAATGCGATGTGTCTGGACGGGAATTCGAGATCCGTAGCGACGCTAACCATTCCATCGCCCATCTGGTATGACGTTGAAAGTGCATATTTGTCCCGGGCAAGACGTACCTCTGTCATGGTGCTCATGTTCCTGAGGGCAATGATGTAATGTCCAGAAATACGCACGTGCCTCGTGTCGGCTAAATTGACATCTACGGAACCAATCAGCTCTCTTGAAGAAGGCAGTCTGAAGGTTGTGACGATGGTATTTCTTTTTGACTTTGCCCATTGTGCAGTGAGGGTGTTTATGAATTCTCCTTCAGTTTCTTCATTCAGGTCATTACCTACCTCAATATTTTCTCCACCATAAGAAAGCATCAAAGTGCCTGAGAGGTTTTTCTTTCCTTTGCTCTTATTCTTCAGGCGGAGAGTGGCAGACATCTCGTTTTCTCTATCAGGCAAAATTGTTATAGACGTTTCAAGTTGTTTGCGATCATGTGTGTGACGGCCAAGAAAGCCGAAATCGACACCCTAAAATAAAAGAAGAGTAATTCTTTATACGGTGTCAAATACAAGTTATCCAATATATAACTTAATATTTCTCACAAGATATCTTCCGAAATCACGCATTGTGATATCAGTGACAAAAGTGGGAATCATGGATCTGGATTTCTTTCGGCCAATTTTTATTATTCTCGATCGCGTCAAAGGTTTCAACATTTTGACGAGTCCTCAAATGACGAAACAGCTGTACGGTGCAAAATGATTAATTATTTGCATTTAATTTTTTAACTTGTGTGGGAAGTATTATTCACTAGTAAATTTACCATTCCTTTATGTTTCAGATCAAAATCAGCAGACAAAGTTGATTCAGGCCAGGTCAGCCGTGGATGTTTGACAGTTGTTGACAGAGTAATTTTCTTGTCCTGGTCTTCTTGGTTTTCACCGTACGCCATATTAAACTCTAATCCGGTAGTTTTTCTGGTATGGCTGGCATCTAGCGAGCTGTCAATATTATACTGGGGTCTCCTCTTGAATGCAACGTTCCTAAAGGAAATAGGTGATAAATCAGGTGTTATTATCTACAGATCGATTTATCTATTTATTTTGCCTTCATTATTTTCAAATTTTGATTTAGACTACTTACAAAGTTCCTTTGATCATCTTCAAGGCTTTGGTCATCGTAAATGATGTCTTTCCGTTGACGGTGATTTTGTCTCGTATCACTTTCGGTACGACGTAGTCAATGGTAGTTCTCGTGACCAATGCCTTTCCACCTTTTACCACAACACTGGATTGGATCTTTGTAGCAAGGTATGGCGTTGTGATATCAACCTTTGATTGGTACCGTTTGCCCATGTTCCTGATTTTGACTGTAAATAAACATTGCTATTTATTCACCTGTTACCTTCCCTTAGTAATAAACAAAGTAAGGCAGTTGTACCATCAATTCATTTGACCTACTTAATGATATCAATTGATTATCCGTGATAGATACTTACTGTCCAATTTGATGTCTTTGGGAACGATCTTGCTCAGAGTAAAATCGACTGCAAAAGACTTTCCGTCCCTGTACTCTGCTGTGCCACCAAATGCGACAACTTCTTTTTTCGGTGTACGAATTGACAAGTGTGGCCTATACTTGATTGCCTTTGCAGTACCTGTTGTCTGGACTCGGGCTTCGAAACTGTATTCTTTTCCTTTTGTGAAACTCACACCACCAAGAATGGATCGAATAGTTTTCTTGTGCTGAATGGAGACTGAAATATATAGAATATACTAAATAATAGTTTCATATTTATCACATCATCGTAAACATTTTCACATTTTTTTAATCAATAATGCCCAGTCGTAAGGACAGCGATCATTTCAAACGACGCTTCTTTTCTAGTTCATAACGAAATTTCATTGTAGGTACTTACATCTACCCTTCACGGGTTGGGCTGTGATACCAGCCAGTGTGAGATCGCCTTCAATCGACTTCGATGGTAGATATTCAACGGAGCCACCGAGATTGATGTTGTCCTTCCCTACCATGACGACTTCTACTGTTGGTGTGTAGACATACACAGAACCCTTTCGGCTTTGCCTGACCTCTGCATTCACTGAATACTCCTGGTTTCTATCAAGCATAAGTCGGCCTTGAAATTGCTTCAGTGTACGTTCAGTCGTCAAGGATCCTGAAAGACAGCGTTTATTAGCAAATACGACCCATAAATTTTCCTGAATTTTTAAATGACTCAGTCACATAACTCTTAGATAAGAATGATAATTGAAATAAGCCAAAGCTTTGTATTCACAATATAACTTTATAATTAAGATTATCATTTTAAATATTATAACATCGAATTTATTAGAAACTTTTATGTAGGATCCAGTTGCAGTAATAGTTAAACTAAAATTAAGGTACCTGACAAACTGGCTTTTTTCCAAGGGGAAACCAAATCCATTGTTACCGATTTGTCCACGCTGTTTATAAGGAAGTCAAATCCCATATTTCTATCTATTGTAGATCCGGGAGTGTTGAATGCTATCTTGGCTGCTACGCTTCTCCTTGTCTTAAAATATGACACAGTCGTATCATTAATTTCATTCGCGTTCTAGGTTCGTTTCCGGTTGATATTTAGAATTAGCTTAACATTTCTACCAACAGAAATACAACTTTGAGTCATGTATACTTGAAATGTAAATAGAAGCGATGTCTTACCCTGGCAAATTTGGTTTCAAATTTGTAGCTTGTCAAGGTATCCTTCTTGGTGAGGTCGACAACCATTTTCACTGGACCCGTGAGTGGAAAGTACGGAGCGTCTGCTTTCAATGAGGCGTTAGGAAACTGGACTTCTCCACAAAGCTGAACACCAGTCACCTCTGTCAAGGTCTCTCCTGTACAAACCTTATGGGATTGTTTGTTTTCTGTGATCATCTCCTGTTCGCGGTGAAGGTCTTTGTGAACGGTGAAAAAGGCAGTTCTGTGTGATGTAAATGACATCATAATATAAAACAAATGTAAAAATGATTTCCGCTATGTATATAAAATATAACGACAAAGTGCTATTCAAACTATTCGTGCCATACTTACTTGAAATTTACGATTTCCATTTTCTCGCGAGGCACATCCAGCTCCATATCCAATATACGGCCATCAGCCAATTCAACCTTTCCTTGGATAGCAGTACTTGTGTGCAGATTTGAAATCATTTTCATGCCGCTCTTTGTTACGAAGGCATCTATGCTCATCATGCTGGATACTTCAAGAGCAGCACTGAAAATGATATAATATACCAAATACATAAATGTCTTCAATGAAGATTGTAGCGCTAATACACAGTTTTTTCTCATCAACAGATTAAATGTCACTTCTAAGTATGTGCTTATTACACGTAGTTCAATTATTAAATTTTAGGAAATCTCTCTGCTCACTGAATATCCATCGTGTTCACAATGATTACCTTGGCTGAATAGCACCAACGATCGATAGGCTTCTCGGACTCGTGGCGACTTTCCTCAAGTCTATTTTACCGGATGCCTTCATGTCAACAGTAGCGGTTCCATTTACCGTAAGGTTTAATGGGAAGCCGGAACTTGTAGGAATGATCATGCTGCTATCCATGAACATGAAGTTTTGTGTCAATGTATAGTCGTGGTTCTTGGACATACTGATAAGCAATTCGAGGATGTTGAAGTCTTCATTGAATAATGATTGTCTTCCATCAAGGCGGGCATAACCTAACTCATTTCCGAAAACTCTCGCGTAAAGTGTTCCCTTCAGTTCATCCATTGCAGATCCAAACTGTAAGTAGATAATTACATTTGTTCACACCTGGTATATATGAATATATATATGATAGTATACCCAGTTACAGCATTACTAATAATGACTCCATCGATGACATTATTACTTACTTGACTTTCAATGTTTCTGACTTTTCTGCTGCTGATGCCTTTGACAAACTGTTCATTGATTTCAGCTGCTTCGTTGTTGTCACTGAAGTAGCCATTGGGCCCAAAGTAGGATTCCAAGAAGTATTCCAAGCCTTCAACTCTGCCCCCGACTTCAAACAAGTTGACGGAGTGACCGAACAGATCGACAGTCAAATTGGCCATCATTGACCTTGGAAGGAAAGAAGAGGAAGACCAGATCAGGTTGCTCTCAACTGACGCTCCAGCATTCAGCTTCTCCAAGAAAATGGATTTCTCGTAATTGTGGGAAAATTTTCTGTTGTCGAGATCGAAGTTACTCCTCAACTCTTCATTCTGCAGAATTGCTCGAATGTCTTGTTTGTGGATGTTTGATGTTTCTTTGAGGTTTGAAAGGTGAGACCAAATAAATGAACCAACTTGGTTAATGTTCTCAGTTTCAAGCTGCTGTCTGACAAGGTTAATGGTTTGAGTACTTGCACACTGCATCAGAGCGAGGTAGGCGGCAATTCTGATCTCGGAATCTTCGTCAGTATTTGCAAACACTGTTTGTACTTCGCTTTTCTGTAAATGAAATCGGACGGAAATATAATCCGATCAGTATGCTATGTTTAACTGTGAAACTGGTCACTTAGATAATACAACTGTATCTTTAATGTTATAAAAAACCCAACGTTCTGTTATAATTAGTGTACAAACGTAGCAGTAAAGTGGCTATAAAAGGAATTATGTCTGCTATGCCACACTCACTATACAGTGCACCTCACTATTTTCCTCCTCGAACTAGCCTCGATGATGGGATTTCTTGTTCGATTTGAAGAAAATATTCTTGAAACATGTTTAATCACATTATCAGGAGGGCACAAGCGGATCTATAATTTTGTATTCTAATATGATTTGGTGTTTCCTTACAAATAAGATTTGAAATCTGGAAGAAAAAGCTGTACGGTACACAACGTTTTTTATCAGGCGTTTTGTTTTCCAAATTTCAAGTGGGTGTCTTTATAAAAATCGGAATTACTTTTTGATCTCATAGACAATAGCTATTGAATAATGAGGTACATACATCAGCATCGCAGGACATGCGTCTGAACGCTTCTATGGCAGCGAGTCTGACCTCTACTGGGTTTTCCGTCCTGGTCAAGCAGCTGTTGATCTTAGGAACAGCGCGAATAGCATACCCAGCATTTCCAAGGGCTCGAAGACTAATGATAGTCTGAAAAGGAATGCTTATTATAAATCATCCTTATTTGAATACATAATGATCATTTTAATGTCATAGCGCGAAAATACTATTCACAGCTTCATTTGTTGATAGTAGATTTGATACCTTTTGCAATTTGTCTCCGTCGACGCTACATCCATATGCGATTTTTTCCTCGATTGTAGATACAATGATGCTGACATCCATATCGTTATCACACGAATTTTTTCCACAGAAGTTGTGAACCAGGGATGTGACAGCTAGCATGGCTTTTCCGTTGCTTTTGGCAAGAAGTGGCTGTAATTAAGGATAGCGGTAATTTAAAAGGACACTGAACGACTATAGAAATGGAATACTTTCCATATTATTCATTTATAGTGTCTCATCGATTCATTATCGTTTACTTACCGTGACCTCTCTCAGCATGTCTTTTGTTGGATGCTGGATGAAGGAGAGTGTTGTAAGCCACATATCGCTCTATACCTGTGATCTCTTGACTGTTAATTAGTTCCGTAAGCATACTCAACGAAGCACTAGTTCCTGTCATTGGTATTGCGTCCAAGAAAAACTTCCTGCAAACACATAATTAGAAATAAAGTTTGTTATTCAGAGTACTTTTCATTATCAGATTACCAATAAGACTTATGCACGAAATATGAATGTAACGCATAAACTCTGTTCGTACTTTACTCTCTTTAAGTTGTTAGCGCACAAACTTCCAGTTCGGAGTCTCTGGTACACCCTTCGGAGAGATTGTGAGTCGACGGTTTTCATTAAGTACACCAGCTCAGAGAAAAGTCTTGGTGTATCTGGGCGTATGTCCTGTCTTGTATTATCACAAACCTCCATAAGTTTGCCTTCTAGATCAGATTGGGAACGAATGGATTTGTCAGGGTCGTAGGCATGTTCGAACGTCATTCCTCGTCGATCTCGGATGACGCCTGTTAGCAAAATGACATGAAGAATATCAATGGCACCAAATCATCAACTGTAGATAATGCTGATCAATAACATGACTTAGATCAATTAATGATTGGATTGTTATAGTGCATACCGGTTGTTGCCGATGGAACGGATTCCTGAACAAAGTTCAGTGTCTGTTTGCTCTCAGTTACTGCACCACTCCCCTCTCGAGAGAACGGTCTGAAAACATGGGATTCCACACAGTTGGCAGCCTTCAGTAAACCATCCGATGAAATTTCCTGTTGGCATTGATGCTCGCTATTCATGACAGGTATAGCTTGGTTCTCCTGTAAAGACACGTATATGTAAAGGTCCACATGCCTTGAATATTCTTGTGGACTTGTGGAAGTCTTGAAACAGGACTTAAACAATTATTCGAACGTATTGTGGTTTGTATATTTTACTTACTGAAGGGACTCTGTACGAAATGCCCTGGACTGATGTACTGTAGTCGTTACGTTCCGTGCATCCGAGCAGATTCTTTGTCTTCCTCACCATATAACCATCTTGGCCGTTGATTGTTCTATATTCGACTTCGCAGTTGCCATTGACGTCAGACTAAAACATCAGAATGGAAATATGCCAATTTCATGTTTCTTTACGACTTCCGTAAATCAAAATCGCAATAAGAGTTTTGATAACAAGAATTATATCTATGTATTCTACGAACCTCAGTTGTTTTCTGGTCACGTCTAAGGTCATCCATGCTGTTCTGGAAGACAGACAATATACCCCGTTTGATGTTCAGAGCCCATGTGACTTCGTCCGAAGATGGACATAGCTCATCTACGATGCCATCTTGGAAGGAAAATCGCAGATCATGCCTCTCTAAGACACGACGAAGTTCTTCACTTCCCTCTGACAATATCATCCTTTCATAGTTCGTTGGGTCTGTTTCGTGCAGTCGCACATTCTCAATCTTCAATCAGAAATGTCAGTTATCTTTACATTAAGACGTGTAAATATACAGATAGACCTAAATTTAATATTTTTTGTCACTTGCATTCTTCCATGATAATTTATGTCGTGCTAATTTGATTCTGGTTCTGGAAGTTTCAATTCAATGCTTATTATATAATTGATAGGACATCATTAATATAATGACAATAGATTACAATTAAGCGTTGAATCCATTGCAGAATGCGACAGATTGCAATCATACCAAACACATAATTATATATAAATGGAAGACTCGCATTTGATAAAAACGTAACAGAAATATAGATAAATTGCATATACTCTAATTAAACTGAACTTGAATACACACCCTGAGAATGAAATCACATTTGGAAACTGCCTCCACATGAACCTTAGCCGTTAGTTCCATTCCGGACGATCCTTCTGATGCTCCTTTCACACTGGTGGATGTTTTTACATTGTAATCAAACTCATACGACCTTCCCGGTCTGTATCCAAACTTATTTGTACCTTTGAAAAAACAATTGATTTTACAACAGTTGGGGCCTGAGATAGTTTACTCTGATAAAAATAGTATTGTACAGTATTCGCAGGCGGAGTCAAACTTCAATCACATTTTGATAATAATTTTGGTTCGTTATTGATGTAATTGTTTAATTACCTTTTGATTGCGTAAAAATACTTACTTGGACATGTTTTTGAACACGAATCTCTAATAGAGTCTATAGGGCCTGGAAGAAAAACAGAAAACCTATGTAAAAGGTTTTTAGGTGGACATATGATGTATAAGTATGTCTAACTGTTTCCTCGTTCAAACTCAGCTTTATTATCATTATTGTTACAGTCTTAACGGCCTGTCAATACCAAAAAAGTCATTCGGGCCATCAACCGATGAAACACAACGATTCATAAGGGGAAAAATATCAAACAAACTAAAAGGTAAAAGACAAATGCTAAAAAACTTAAATGACTATGTTATTACAACAGCTTAAAATGGTAAGTAATAGTCTATAATATAGACCAACATCATTCAAATAAACTAGAATTTTATAAATGTCAATAACTTCAAAAACGGTCTTTAGACTTGTAACGTTACAAGAAAAAACATTCTTGAGTAGTTAGAAGGTCAATGCAGTCCAATAAAAAAGTTCAACGGTCAAACTCAGCCTTGTATGTAAGTAATAGATGTCAATGTATACCAACACATGTATACTACCTTTAGGTGTCTGCTGTTTAATGTAATAGGAACAAACCCAGACATTTTTATGAGTTTACAGTTGCTACTAAAAATATTGAAAATAAAAGTATTTAAGAAATCATATTGAAAATATTGTCATGTGGACGAAACTCATATTTGTGGATTTTCTGCTGCTTAACACCTCAATGAAAAATATCGGAAAGATCCTATCAAAGGAGAAATAAGTACTGAATATGGCAATTATTACCAGATCAACAAAGGCAACAAACAGAACATGTCACTATCACCAAACATGTTAAAGGACATTACGTTTTAGCACATTGGCTGTCAACTGCATTTGGTCTATCAATCAATAGAACTAAAATTGGAATTATTTAATCAATAAGCAGTCAAAAAATTCTGAAACAAAATGTTTTCCAGCGCACTTTAGACGAAATCAATTTGTCGACATGTAAATAACAAATGAAAATCGTCCAAATTCATCATACAATTACCAATTGACAAAGTTGCTTAAACTACCGTTCGAAAATGTGAACGCTGATTAACTTTCCATTCGTCATAAATAAATAAGTTTCAGAACCATTGCTACAACTGGATGAATTGAAAGCAGTGAAGTTTTAGAGAACAGGATTAGAATTAAAACAAGGAGACATTGTGTTACGATGTTACTTGATGAGTAAGCCATTATTGGCAGACATGTACATTGAACATTGGAGGAGGAGGGCTGGGTTTCCAGAGCATGATGGGTCTCGCCGTCCGTTCCCGATAAACTCTCGGTCATTTCTGAGTCCGTAAACCGTATAAATGGAAGTAGAGTCCAAAGATATGCTTTTCCAGTTGCCATTAAAGAACGTCTTCTTTTATGAGTACATTTACAGAAGACGGAAAATGCATTTATCTGTATATCACATCTTCAAATCGGACGTTTAAATCAAATAACAAACCCATCGAAATCATGTGTTTTAAATGAAATGAAATTTTCAAAATGTATAATTAAATGGCTGGGTAAACGGAAAATTCGGTACCAGAGATTATAAATTGTAGCAAAAATGTTGTAGTGAAGTAACTACAATGTTAGAGATTGTTTATATTGTCTGCCGAAAACCCAGAGCGAGAGGAATCATGAAATGTTAAACAAACAAGAAAACTATATTTACTAAAAAAACTTTTGTTGTTGCAGTTACAGATTTTTGAGATTCAAAAAAGCGCCAAAAAATTAATCTTTAATCATGCAATATCACACGAATGAAATAAAAGTCAAAATTTTTACGACTCAACAAAATATGATAATTTATTGACTACAAAATTACTGTGATAAAAGTTAGACATATAGACATACTATTAAACTGCACAGTTAGAGAAGAACATAGGATACAAAGTAAACGCCATAACGATAATTCACCAAAGGAAAAAGGAAAAAACGGACTTTCAAAAATATTTGTGACAATTCTGAAACTTTAAAGTATAGTTGAAATCTATCTTTTTCTATAGTACATCACACCACCTAGTTTCAGATAAGTCTGTTGTATCCATAAAATTTACTCACCCGCCTGAGTCGAAGCCACCAGGGCAACGACTAAAAGTAACTTGAGCTCCATTCGTGGGAGCTGGGGCTCGTCTATACTTCTCTGTGTCTGTTGTGAAGCTCTGATGCTGGACTGGCTTTATATACCTTTTTCATATCAGCCAGTACAAAATCCACCGAGCAGTACCAGGGTACATTGCTGACACAGGTAGGGCCCTACATTTGTGATCACCTTTGTTCATTGATATAGTTATCATAACAGTTTTTAGATAAATGATAAACTGTAATGAGTGTTTATGCTGTACTGATGTAGAGCATGTTTACAGAACCGAGCTACAAATCCTTATTGAGTTTCTGAAATTGTTGTGAAGGCAAAAGAGGAAATATCCATGTTTCTGATTTCCCGTCCGTCACTTTTCCCCTATCGAACATATTTATATTTCAAACACTTTTGAAAACAATCAAGAATATCCGTGTACAATTGCGCCGAAGCCAATATATTTAGAAGATCATCAAAACGGGGATTTTCGCTTATTTTTGTTATTATAGTTGATGTAAACAAACTTTATAATTGTGAAGTTGTCAAACTTTATCGAATGCCAATCTGTCTTATTCTTCTTCTCCATAAATGATTAAAGATCAAAACCAAGGTTGTGCATTTTATTTATTACCGTGGATAAAGGTGAAATTAGGAGTTACAGGATTTTCTGAACATGACGTCTTAAGTCTACCGATCGACAAACTCATAAAACATTGTTTAAATGATGTGGGTTGATGAAAAATAGGTGAAATGGTACGGTCGTTATATGATCTTAGATATTTAATTTTTTTGTGTGAAGCTGGAAGTGTGTGTTGGTTCCGTTGTTATATACCTCATATGGGAAGGTAACATTACTTACTGATTGACCAAGATTTACATAGCAGGTTTCGTCCATAAAGCAGAATCTTACTACGACTGGTCTCTTTCATCTACTTTTTCATGCGTCTTTTAGTAAAGCTTTCACTTGTTCAATCGTTTCTCTTGTTTTATTGAATTTGAGTTTGGATTATAATTATGTTCTCATGTTGGTAGTTTTGGTTGCTTTTGTAGAGAGCTCTAGCAGACTCACACAAATAAAATCCTGCAAAAGTGGTTTATTTCATTATAAGATATATGTTTTTTCTGCATTGGACTGCAAAACATGTGACAGACAAAAATAACAATAGTTATTCATCTACAAAAAATGACTTTACCAGAGGACATAAACGTTGTTTATGGTATTAAATATGTGATTATTTTTCTAAATATTGGTGAAACGCTGTGGAAGACCATTTACGAATATCAATGTTAATTTAACCTGATTATTCTTTACTGTCAGTGAGTATGCGTTTAATGGGAAATATTTACCGCCATATTGAAACCCCGACAATACATTGGTCTATTATAGTATATATTAAGCAATATTTATGTCAATGTCATAAAGAAGAAATAATCATAATACGGACAGCGGTGTTATAGATAGTTATAAATTTTTTATTGGCAATATCTCCATCGAGTGCAGTGGTAAGATCTTCCAAAAGAAAAAACTACTTGCAAATCTACCGGACTAAACTTCGCCCCCACCCCTTTTTTATGACTGACTTCTTTTTGTTTCCATACAAGGTTGAATTTATTAAAGAGCTTATCAAGACAATGGAAAGCCCTTCTTTTTATGTCACGTTCCCTACACCATTAGTATAGTATATCACGTTCCTTAAGTTATCAGTAGGGTATATCACGTTCCCTACACCATTAGTATAGTATATCACGTTCCCTAAGTTATCAGTAGGGTATATCACGTTCCTTCCGTCATCAGTATGGTGAATCATGTTCCCTTCGTCATCAGTATGGTACATTTTGTATGTATATAACGCTTCCCTACGCTATCAGAGTGTTACATTTTGTATCATATTCCCTACGTGTTATCATTTGGTTATCAGTTCCCTGTATACATTTTGTAAGTTATGTTCCTATGTTCCCACGTTATCAGAGTGTTATCATTTTGTATGGTATGTTCCCTACATATGCCTGTGTTATCAGTATGTATATCATGTTCCCTACGTATCAGAGTGTTACATTTTGTATATCAGAGTGTTACATTTTGTATGTCATATTCCCTACGTTCCCTACGTTATCAGAGTGTTACATTTTGTAAGCCATGTTCCTATGTTCCCTACGCTATCAGAATGTTATATTTTATATGCCTTGTTCCCTATGCTATCAGAGTGTTACATTTTGTAGGTCATATTCCTATGTTCACTATGCTATCGTGGTGTTATATTGTGTACACCTTGTTCCCTACGCTATCAGAGTGTTACATTTTGTATGTCATGTTCCCTACGCTATCAGAGTGTTACATTTTGACTGTTTTGTTCCATACGTTCCCTACGCTATCAGAGTGTTACATTTTGTATGTCATGTTTCCTTCATTCCTTACGCTATCAGAGTGTTACATTTTGTATGTCATGTTCCCTACGCTATCAGAGTGTTACATTTTGTAAACAATGTTCCTATGTTCCCTATGCTATCATGGTGTTACATTTTGTATGTCATGTTTTCTTCATTCCTTACGCTATCAGAGTGTTACATTTTGTATGTCATGTTTCCTTCATTCCTTACGCTATCAGAGTGTTACATTTGAAAGCCTTGTTCCCTATGTTCCTGACGATATCAAAGTGTTACATTTTGTAAGCCATGTTCCTATGTTCCCTACGCTATCATAGTGTTACATTTTGTATGTCATGTTCCCTACGCTATCAGAGTGTTACATTTAGTATATCATGTTCCCTACGCTATCAGAGTGTTACATTTTGTAAGCCTTGTTCCCTACGTTTCCTATCCCTACGCTATCAGAGTGTTACATTTTGTAAGCCATGTTCCTATGTTCCCTACGCTATCAGAGTGTTACATTTTGTATGTCATGTTCCCTACGCTATCAGAGTGTTACATTTAGTATATCAGGTTCCCTACGCTATCAGAGTGTTACATATTGTAAGCCATGTCATATGTTCCCTACGCTATCAGAGTGTTATATTTTATATGCCTTGTTCCCTTCGCTATCATAGTGTTACATTTTGTATGCCAATTTTCCTACTTTTACTACGATATCAGAGTGTTACATTTTGTAAATCATGTTCCTATGTTCCCTACGCTATCAGAGTGTTACATTTTGTATGTCATGTTCCCTAAGCTATTAGAGTGTTACATTTAGTATATCAGGTTCCCTACGCTATCATAGTGTTACATTTTGTATGTCATGTTCCCTACGTTCCCTACGCTATCAGAGTGTTACATTTTGTAAGCCATGTTCCTATGTTCCCTATGCTATCAGAGTGTTACATTTTGTATGTCATATTCCCTACGTTCCCTACATTATCAGAGTGTTACATTTAATATATCATGTTCCCTACGCTATCAGAGTGTTACATTTTGTAAGCCTTGTTCCCTACGTTCAATATGCTATCAGAGTGTTACATATTGTAAGCCATGTTCCTATGTTCCCTACGCTATCAGAGTGTTATATTTTATATGCCTTGTTCCCTTCGCTATCATAGTGTTACATTTTGTATGCCATGTTCCCTACTTTCCTTACGCTATCAGAGTGTTACATTTTGTAGGTCATATTCCGTAGGTTCCCTACGTTATCAGAATGTTACATTTTGTAAGCCATGTTCCTATGTTCCCTACGCTATCATAGTGTTACATTTTGTATGTCATGTTCCCTTCTACGTTCACTACGCTATCAGAGTGTGATATATTGTATGCCTTGTTCCATATGCTATCAGAGTGTTACATTTTGTAAGCCATGTTCCTATGTTCCCTACGCTATCAGAGTGTTACATTTTGTAAGCCATGTTCCTATGTTCCCTACACTATCATAGTGTTACATTTTGTATGTCATGTTCCCTACGTTCCCTAGTATATCATGTTGCCTATGCTATCAGGGTGTTACATTTAATATATCATGTTTCCTACGCTATCACAGTGTTACATTTTATATGCCTTTTTCCCTTCGCTATCATAGTGTTACATTTTGTAGGTCATATTCCCTATCAGAGTGTTACATTTAGTATATCATGTTCCCTACGTTATCAGAGTGTTACATTTTGTAAGCCATGTTCCTATGTTCCCTACGCTATCAGAGTGTTACATTTAGTATATCATGTTCCCTACGCTATCAGAGTGTTACATTTTGTAAGCCATGTTCCTATGTTCCCTACGCTATCAGAGTGTTATATTTTATATGCCTTGTTCCCTTCGCTATCATAGTGTTACATTTTGTAGGTCATATTCCCTACGTTCCCTAGATTATCAGAGTGTTACATTTAATATATCATGTTCCCTACGCTATCAGAGTGTTACATTTTGTATGTCATGTTTCCTACTTTCTTTACGGTATAAGAGTGTTACATTTTGTAAGCCATGTTTCTATGTTCCCTACGCTATCAGTGTTACATTTTGTATGTCATATTCTCTACGCTATCAGAGTGTTACATTTTGTAAGCCTTGTTCCCTACGTTCAATATGCTATCAGAGTGTTACATTTTGTAAGCCATGTTCCTATGTTCCCTACGCTATCAGAGTGTTACATTAATATATCATGTTCCCTACGTTATCAGAGTGTTACATTTTGTAAGCCATGTTCCTACGCTATCAGAGTGTTACATTTTGTATGCCATATTCCTATGTTCCCTACGCTATCAGAGTGTTACATTTTGTATGTCATGTTTCCTACTTTCCTTACGCTATCAGAGTGTTACATTTTGTATGCCTTGTTCCCTACGTTCAATATGCTATCAGAGTGTTACATTTTTAAGCCATGTTCCTATGTTCCCGACAATATCAGAGTGTTACATTTTGAATGCTTTGTTCCCTACGTTCCCTACGCTATCACAGTGTTACATTTTGCAAGCCAGTTCCATACGTTCCCTATGCTATCAGAGTGTTACATTTTGTATGTCATATTCCCTACGTTCCCTACGTTATCAGAGTGTTACATTAATATATCATGTTCCCTACGCTATCAGAGTGTTACATTTTGTAAGCCATGTTCC